CAAATCGGTTATAAAAATGCTGTCATTATAAAAGTTTTCTCGTGTCAATGTATTGCTTGTTTTTTTTCTGTTTTCATTTCAAGTTGTGACATTTCTCGTCTCCCATGATTGATCACAAGCTTGCCGTACTTCTGGACAAGCGTTCTCGACAGGGCGGCCAGAGCTTCAGCGGCGGTGTGTACGTACAGTTAGTGTACTAATCTAGTTCTTAGTAATCCCAGATTTGCACACGTGTGCTTGTGATGTTCCTCTTGAAAGAAACTGAGAATAAAATCATATTTTACCCAGAGACGCTTCAGAAGTAAACATCAGAAATAATGCTTTAGTACACTCTCGTATAAAAAGGTACATGATGTCACCGTATGTGTAAATGTAGGAAATATTTACCGTACTGTGGCTTTTTACTCCGACTCACTAGAATTTGGTCATTAATGGTTGACATTAATGATAAAACGAGTGTCAGACGTGCAGGTGAAGAGTTACGAAGACTCGTGACCTTTAACCTTGCCTTTGCCAGCGCCATGCTGTTGTATCATACTCTGAGGTACAATACATACAGTAATAACAGTAATTACAGTAATCCATGTAAAACTGTATCATGTAGGAAAACCATTCAAACACAGTGATGTGTGGTTGTTGGTAAACCTATACACTTTGCTGACAGATTGTTTGTGTTGTTCCTCTTGAAAGTAACTGTGGATAAAGTGATATTTTACCCAGAGATGCTTCAGAGTAAACATCAGAAATGGCCTTGTGTGTAATCCTTATCGAGAAGAGATACTCAAGGCACATTTCACAGTGTGTTTACAGTACACTGTGGCTTACACACTGATTCTGCTCATTAATGAAGATCAGAACGAGTGTCAGACGTGCAGGTGAAGTGTTCACAGAGTACGAAGACTCGTGACCTTTGACCTTGCCGTTGCCAGCGCCATGCTGTCGACACATACAGTGATACTCGTAATACAATGTAAAACAGCATCACGTATGAAAATCATTCATACACAGTCATGGTGTACTGTAAACCCTTCGGTCTGCTTTAGCTGTGAGTCTGACATAAGAAGTGTTTAAGAAGTGACTTAAGATAGTGAAGATGAAGAATCTGCAGGTTTGATGACAGGAACTGCTGCTTTCTAGAAAATGAAAACACACACACACACTTGTCACTAACACCAGATTCCTGTCATTCACTTCAGTTTTAACTTTATTCACTGTTTCTGGAGATCTCCCTTCAGATATTCGATATTGGAGAAGATCAGATATGCGATAATGCAATGCAAGATTTGATGTGCAATAAGATAATCATCAAGAAAATTGACTTAAAATGAAACGGATAATGATATAACCAACAATCTGCAGGATTGACAGTCAATAGATCAATAATGTAATGTCATCTTGATGCTGATGCTGTTTCATCATGGAAAAAGTATGAGTATTAGTGTGGCAAAAAAACTGTGCAAATGGATAGTCAAAGTGTTATCACACACACACACACACACACGCACGGATATGCTCATTCTCATAAGCTCTTACCTCATCTCGGACTTCTTCAGAAACATCTCATAATAACTCTCTGAATCACAGGAATCTAGAAATTAAAAACACAAAGATCTGCTTATAGGTCGTGGGTTTTATTCTCAGGGAATGGTTGAACTGATTCATGAATTACTAAGATTTTGAATTCGATGTAAGTTGCTTTAGATAAACAAATGTGTATGATTCTGTTGATGAGTAGTTTATAAGTGCAGTGAATAGGACTGACTCAGACACAGATCTGATGAGTGTAACGTGAAGGTTCGGTATGTGGTGGTAGATCACTCTTTATGATAATAATCAGCAGAATGGAGACAGAAGACTTTCTCAAGCGACACTTTTACTGAACACCATCACAACAACAGCACTTCCTTATCCAGTTGTTCACATGACTCCACTAACCAATCAAAAGCAAGAACGTAGACTGAGATAAACAGTATCAGAGAGGCAAATTCACCAGAATATCCTTACTGTATTAAATATGTAAACACAATTAACTGACTAAGCATTGTAAGTAAATTAAGTCAAATATAAATCATATTAACTTTCCGATATGAAATATGAACTCCACTTCTAAACCTTACATGAGGAAAGACGTGTTTGATCCTGAAACTCACAGTTCGGTCTGTCGTGATGAATGCTGTTGCGGCGCGCCCGTCTCTCGCTCTTCTCCTCTCCTGCTTTTAACACGCCATCTTTCTCTCTTCTCTTCTTCTGTAGACTGATCCACATGCCATACGATATTTCTCTCAAACTCTCTTTGTAGAATGACTGTTGCAAACAAAACAGGTACAATTTAGAGTTAGATCATTTAAAATTGTGTTAATGATTATTGTGCAATACAGGTTTACACTTAAGTTTCAGTTTAACACAAACATCAATGTCCAGATTTAAAAAGATCTCTTTCCAAACCATTAAAGATAAATGTTCTACCTTGACGAAGAGGCGATGTATTCCCTGCGTCTCTGAGATCTGCTGTGGTGTTGAACTGGTTGATCTGGTTTCTGGCTGGAACTGGAAACGCCTTCGCTGACATTCATAACTCATCTCAACATGAACAAGAATGTTTTAGATGTTTTACGTTGTTTGCATTGTGTAGTTCAGCGTTATACGGGTGAATCCACGTGAACTGATGGAACTGAAAGCATTTTGTTGTTTCTGAATGACATCCACACTCTCTCACAACTTTTAAGAAGAAAACCCTGAGCATCTGACAATCCAGTCTTAACCCATAATTCAACAATCACACACACATACAATAAAACAATCACACACACTTTACATTTACAAAAAACATCACTTATGTTACGTTCAAAGACATATATTTGTGATAACTGCATAGGGCACTGTGTATGTTTTTTTTTATTGTTTTTTTTATTTTGTTGTTGTTTTGTGGCTCCTCCATTCTGTCTCCTCCCACTCTGACTCTCCCCAGTCTGGCTCCTCCCACTTTCCCCCCACTCTGTCTCCTCCCACTCTGACTCTCCCCACTCTGGCTCCTCCCACTTTCCTCCCCACTCTGTCTCCTCCCACTTTCCCCCACTCTGTCTCCTCCCACTCTGACTCTCCCCACTCTGGCTCCTCCCACTTTCCTCCCACTCTGGCTCCTCCCACTTTCCCCCCACTCTGTCTCCTCCCACTCTGACTCTCCCCACTCTGGCTCCTCCCACTTTCCTCCCACTCTGGCTCCTCCCACTTTCCCCCCACTCTGTCTCTCCCCACTCTGGCTCCTCCCACTTTCCTCCCACTCTGGCTCCTCCCACTTTCCCCCACTCTGTCTCCTCCCACTTTCCCCCACTCTGTCTCCTCCCACTCTGACTCTCTCCAATCTGTCTCCTCCCACTCTGACTCTTCCCACTCTGGCTCCTCCCACTTTCCCCCACTCTGTCTCCTCCCACTTCCCCCACTCTGTCTCCTCCCACTCTGATTTTTTCCAATCTGGCTCCTCCCACTCTGACTCTCCCCACTCTGTCTCCTCCCACTTTCCCCCCACTCTGTCTCCTCCCACTCTGATTTTTTCCAATCTGTCTCCTCCCACTCTGGCTCCTTGCTTTAATACGTTGCTTATTGGTAATGCTTTCACCTTTTACACAGTTGCCATGTTGATTGTTTGCTTCTTTTTCTTTGGTTTTGGAAGTTGTAAGGATGTGTGCCATTGTTGTTGTATCCCTCTGCTTCCTTCTGGTTTGTGGCTAGATAGGGAGCGAGTGTAGTGCACATTTCTGTTGTTGATTTGTTTTCTTTGAGAAAAAGTCTTTTACTCTTTTAAGGCAGAATTCTTTTGTATGTTATTTTGCCTGCCCGATTCCTGCATCAGTGTGAGAGTTTGTGTTGATTAGTTATGAAAGCTTTAGTGATGAACATGCTCAATCAACACTTGTCTATGGCCAGTGAAAGAGAAAGTACAACATGAAAAGAAACTCACAAGCTGTTTAAGTTTCAAGATTTTTTAATTATTTATTTTTCAGGTTTATTTCACTGGTAGTGGCCTGCATGTTTACTATAGTGAAATTAATTTCATTCAAAAATACATCTAGTATATATTTATTTACAATTAATTCTAGTAACAGTTTTAGGACATCGTGTACAGTAAAACACAGTCTTAAATGGTTTTATAGCTTGTTTTCCCTGTTTTGTTTTAAGGACTTATACATAAATACATATATATATGTATGTATTTCCATTTTCTGTTCCAATTGTTCAGTGTTTTGCTAAAAAGAGAGCTTTGAGTTTTTAAAAATGACTGATTATTGACATTTTGATTGTTTTGTTAGTTTCTGATGTAATCAGTTCTTTTTTTAGTTTCACCACACATATTATTTTTACATAAACTGCAGATATCTCTACTAATGCTGCTTAAAGTTGGCAATAAATTAAAATTCAGGTTCATGTCAGACTGTCTGGAAATACATATTATTTTATATTATATTGTTGGTAGGTCTACCGTAACAAGGGGAAGTGAATCAGCTTACGGTTGTGTGTGTGTGGTGTGTGTGTGTGTGTGTGTGTGTGTGTGTGTGTGTGTGTGTGTGTGTGTGTGTGTGTGTAATTTAGTTATCTTTCTTTAATGCTGAATAATCTGTGAAACATTTCATTTTCAGTTTGATCTTGTTTTGCTGTGTGTGATTTGTTTTTTCTCAGAACAGAAATATTCAGCATTAAATGTCTTTTTCAAAATAGATCACTCATATTTAAATAAATACCACAAATGAAATGTTCTTATACGTCACATGATCCAACGCATTCTCACCCCAAGGCGTCACCTTTGACCATGCTTCAATATTTGACGCTCTAGGCGCCCTTTAGGGTCACTTACATGACGCGATCCTATGCTAAAGGAAAGCGTCAGTTAGGTGACGCGGTTAGGTTTAGGTCTGGGGTGGGGGTAGGGTTACACGCCATCCTAGGGCATCATCTAACTGACGCTAAAGGGCGCCTAAAGCGTCAGATATTGAAGCATGGTCAAAATGCTTCCCAAGGCGTCAGTTAGGTGACGCCTTGGGGTGAGAATGGGCTGCATGATCTGTGGGAAACTACACATTCGAAGGTCCATCGTTTGCATCACTCGTCCGAGACTGGGTATTATGAATCCTTATCCAACATCTCTGTTTTGTTTGTGTCCTTTATTATTCTTATTCTTTAAAGGTTCAGGCAGCAGTCACACATCAGTAGTTTCTGTCCATAAGCGTATTATAATTCATCTGTTAATGTCTCTCAGTGAATGACTGTCTACAGCTTCATCATGAGAGACTGCAGGAAACAAAGATAAGAATAAGTGGAAATATTACAGAGCGTGTAAGAAGACATTTAATACATCAAGTTTTAGATGTTAAAATACTCACAGTCTGGTCTTCTTGCCTCCACACTGTCCTGATGATAATGTCTCATGAATCCTTTCTTCTTTAATTCAGATTGAGAGTTTTTCTCTTTGTTCTCCTGAATTTTGCTGTTCTGCTTCTGAATCTTCTCTCCGTCGCACATCATCTCCAGTCCATTAACCTTTATATACGAGCGTATGGGACACTCAAGGGGTTCAGGACTAATGCAGTCAAGACAGTGTTGTGTGTTTCCAGCAAGAGAAACTCGAGATGAAACCCCAGTTTAACTGATTTATTCAAAGGAGCTTTGCATGTTACTTCACAAATGTGTGGTCTATAATAAACAAAATAGCAACAAAGAAAACAGTTGTTAAGTAATATATAAATTAACATACATGGGTTAACTGCGTGCTGATTATAATAAAATAATAAAGTAAAGAATGACACGCAGATTGCACAATCGCTGCGTATGCTCAATATTACAGCAGCGGTAAACATCATCAAATTCAACATTTTCAAACAATATTGAACAAACCGGGTAATCTGTAACTAAGAAGTGAATATAATATCTTATAACCTAATATAACAATAATTTATAGCTCAAAGTCTAATCTGAAAGCGTTTCACTTTGTGACGCAATTTAAAATGTGTTCATTAAGCCGTCGTCGTCTAGCGATCCAATACTCCATATAGCTATTATCGTTGTACAACGTAGCCTAATATTCCAACTTTGTAAATATTCATAGTGAATTTTCGATGGCATGAGTCTGAGCCAATGAAATGTGATTTTCATACTCATGCTGATGTAAACAAAACAATCACTTACTGACAGATCCGAAGCGCACAAAGACTCTCAGACACTCGCGATCCCTGATATTAATACAGTATTTCAAAATATCTGTCTTAGCAATTATTCACGGAAACATCTATCTGTTATCTTAAGTGAAAGTTCGGTTAACCGTCAGGAAAAAACATCTGATGTGTAACATTATATTAGATGCGTGCGGTACCGTAGGCCTATATCGGTTTATGTTAATCAAACATTTGTGACCATTTGGGGAAAAAGTTGAATTTATATTGTCATATAGATATTTGGTTTTGACTTGGTTTGTGCCAAATTTGGTGTTATCGCCAGGATTTTAAGGTACGGCTGATTGGTGATTTTGTTTTGAAACTTAAGAAAACTTTTAACTCAATTTCTCTCAAAAATGACTCAATCGACTTCAAATGGGTGCAGCTATAGCTACTTTTTGTCTGATTCCAACAAACCATACATCATTAAGGTTTTTTATAATGTGAAAATAACTTTAACTCATTTTTGAAAATTTGCTCATTGCGACTCATTTTGCCAGCATGGCTCACATATTCAGATAAATCATGTTTAACGCAGGTAGACAGTGTCAGTAGAGGTCTATTCTGAGACTGGGGCAAGTTGTCACAATTTTAACTCGGTGAAGTCAAATAATTTTTGAAAGTGCAATTCTGTAAAGAGATGCATTTTAAAATTTACACAAGAACATTTCCAATGTTGAACTCTGATTCCGAATAACAAGAAACAGTTTATCTAACACAAGTTCAACTGCTGTGGCGGTAGTTTACCAAAATACCTTATTGCAATAAATACAATGTATAAAATGACATCATATATTTAATTATTTTTGTGGAAAAAAAACATTTCAACCTTTCAAAAGTCCTTCCTATTATTACAATTTATAATATTTCTAATATATTAAATATATAATAATATGTAAAGTATATTATTATATTACATTTATTTTCCAGATACATGTGCTATTAAAAAACATTAAATTAAATTAAATCTGACTTACATGACACAGAGACGTCTACAACAGCCTTCTGTATAATCACAGAGAATCACAGATCAAGACTTCTGGACTCAAAAGCTCTTCTGATATCAGTCAGGCGGTGTTTAAACATTAACCCTGCACCTTTATCACAGTCTATGACCTCAATCACATACATAGTTAAATGATAAGAACTTTGAAATGCCCACAAGTAAGTTGTAAAGTGTTGATTCATGAACTGATCTTTCTTGTTGTGTCAGACTATTATTATTATTTTAAAAGTAGCCTAGATAGCTATTCAATATTTAATGTGAACAGCTTCAGTTTGTCTATTAAAGTCACTAATCGACTTTAACATAATTAAGAAATGAAGTTTATGTGCAACTGCTGGAGTTTATTACGCTTTACACAGTCGGAACTGCAGGGTTTGATTATTTTATATGTCCCAAAATTCCATTACTTAAATTTCCATCCCAACCCTCTGTCTCCTTATCTCCTTAACCTGAACTTTGACTCATAGATTTTCATTTTCGTCTTTCTGTCAGTGAAGAAAGTTAACAACTGAAATTCAGCCAATGTTTTAGAATCATTTTCTTAGATTAGTTAACTTACTGAAGGCAACACAGGCTAAGTAAATAAGTTAATAAATTCATTCCTGCAATATAAATTCATCCTGTAATATAATATGATCCAGAGGAGAGTCTCGTTCTGCTTCATATGAGACACATGATGATCCTCATTGCACTTCAGATCAGGTTTCTCTTCACTGTCTCTGATCCTGAAACTAAAGGCCTTTGAGTTTCTCCTCAAATTTACTTCTGACATCTAGTGGACAAAGATGAACACTGCACATCATATTCTGTGTGTGAGGACAAATAGAAAACACACACTCAAACACATTTATTTACTATGCCTTCATTTATATTTTAAACATGTGACATTATTCCAGTTTAATTCACTGAATGTCATTCATTTTCAACTCACAAATAATAATGTCATTTAGCATTTTGTGTGAAATGTAAGAAATTACAGCAACTCATGATTCAATGTTTCCTCTTTTGTGTGACAGTAAGTGTTGATCTGCTGTAGATCTTGAGTATTGAGTAAGTGTTGATCTGCTGTAGATATTGAGTATTGAGTAAGTGTTGATCTGCTGTAGATATTGAGTATTGAGTAAGTGTTGATTGAGTAAGTGTTGATCAGCTGTAGATATTGAGTATTGAGTAAGTGTTGATCTGCTGTAGATATTGAGTATTGAGTAAGTGTTGATCTGCTGTAGATATTGAGTATTGAGTAAGTGTTGATTGAGTAAGTGTTGATCAGCTGTAGATATTGAGTATTGAGTAAGTGTTGATCAGCTGTAGATATTGAGTATTGAGTAAGTGTTGATCTGCTGTAGATATTGAGTATTGAGTAAGTGTTGATTGAGTAAGTGTTGATCAGCTGTAGATATTGAGTATTGAGTAAGTGTTGATCTGCTGTAGATATTGAGTATTGAGTAAGTGTTGATTGAGTAAGTGTTGATCAGCTGTAGATATTGAGTATTGAGTAAGTGTTGATCAGCTGTAGATATTGAGTATTGAGTAAGTGTTGATCTGCTGTATATATTGAGTATTGAGTAAGTGTTGATTGAGTAAGTGTTGATCAGCTGTAGATATTGAGTATTGAGTAAGTGTTGATCAGCTGTAGATATTGAGTATTGAGTGAGTGTTGATCTGCTGTAGATATTGAGTATTGAGTAAGTGTTGATTGAGTAAGTGTTGATCAGCTGTAGATATTGAGTATTGAGTAAGTGTTGATCTGCTGTAGATATTGAGTATTGAGTAAGTGTTGATCAGCTGTAGATATTGAGTATTGAGTAAGTGTTGATCAGCTGTAGATATTGAGTATTGAGTAAGTGTTGATTGAGTAAGTGTTGATCAGCTGTAGATATTGAGTATTGAGTAAGTGTTGATCAGCTGTAGATATTGAGTATTGAGTAAGTGTTGATCAGCTGTAGATATTGAGTATTGAGTAAGTGTTGATCAGCTGTAGATATTGAGTATTGAGTAAGTGTTGATCTGCTGTAGATATTGAGTATTGAGTAAGTGTTGATCAGCTGTAGATATTGAGTATTGAGTAAGTGTTGATCTGCTGTAGATATTGAGTATTGAGTAAGTGTTGATCAGCTGTAGATATTGAGTATTGAGTAAGTGTTGATCTGCTGTAGATATTGAGTATTGAGTAAGTGTTGATCTGCTGTAGATATTGAGTATTGAGTAAGTGTTGATCTGCTGTAGATATTGAGTATTGAGTAAGTGTTGATCTGCTGTAGATATTGAGTATTGAGTAAGTGTTGATCTGCTGTAGATATTGAGTATTGAGTAAGTGTTGATCTGCTGTAGATATTGAGTATTGGCCAGACCATGGTATAACTATATATATATATATATATATATATATATACAGCAGATATATATATATATATATATATATACACTCAGCCGCGGCGCTACCATTGGGCGAATGAATGACGTTGGCGAGCAAGATTTTCAATGAGACAGAAACAGTCGGTAGCTATTAGCTAAAATGAAGCGTAATATGGCAAAGCCAAAGCAAAGCAGCTTGTTTTCATTTAAATTTAGCAGCAACAAAAATAAATAAATAAATAAATAAAACGCTCCGAGGAGCAGGAGGAGGAAACGCGGCGTTCTATTTCGTTCTTACTGACCGACAGAGGCAGTGCTTCACACTGGATACTATCTCTCGTTGCAATGCATAGGTCAAGTCTAATACAAACAATGTCCCACGTGACCAGGATGACTCGGGGTGCTCCTCTATTTAACCCCGTGACTTCCTGCAGACTGTCCCTAAAATCTTCTCGCGTGCACGTATGCAGGTCGTAGATTATGTAAAAAAAAAAAAAAAAAAAAAAAAAAAAAGGTAAAACTCGAATCCGTTCCTCACAGCTTCGCAACAGAAAACATTTGTTGGTGTCTCGCGACTGCGCGTCCTCCAGAGGCTGCAACGGATTCATTGATAACAAAATAAACAACACGGTTGGTGAGTTTGTTTACATTGATGCTGGGGTTCGTTCTCGTTTTCCTGGCATTGTGTTGGTCGCTAGACAGAGTGTTTTCGCTCGTTGAAAGGGCCATAATAACTTGCAGCTGTAGGTAAGTTAGTAAGACCACGCTGGGAGGGTGTGCACTCTGTATAGCGATTGGTATCTGAGCTACAATAGCTGCATACTCATCTATTGTGTTATGGAATGAGTCTAGCATTGTAAAAAGAAGAAGGCAATAATTATACTGTTGGTTTTTGTAGTATAATTACATATACACTTCAATAATTGTTTTGTGTTGTTTTTGAATTTTTTATTTATTTATTTTTATTTTTTTGCCAGTCAGAGTGATTGCGCTCGACCTACTAAATATCTTCCTAAGAATGGAGAAGTTAGCTCATACTTGCACATTGTGCATGGCTGTTCTCCAGGCGGATGATGGGCATGACTGCTGCCCTTCCTGTTTAGGCCTAGAACACCTTAAACAGGGCCTCACAGAAGATGCCTGCACAAACTGTAGCGTCATGTCTTGGGAGAGGAGGACTTCAAGGATAACCATGGTGGAAGGGCTTTTGGGGGAGTCACTACCTCCACCCCCACCCTGGAAAAAAGCAAGAAAACGTAAAGGTATTGAATCAACCAGTGCTTCCGCTGGTAAAAGACCCAAGGAAGACCCTTTAGCGAAAAAGGTGGATGTGATGGCGGCTGAGTTTGCTCAGATTAAGGCCTTACTTTTGAGGTTGCAACCGGGCGAGAGACTAGTATCCTCAGCCGAAGCCACTGCTATGGAGTCGCCCATTGAGGAGGAGGATGTCCTTTCAATGGCGGCTTCTCAGAGCCAATTCTATGATGATGTTGAGGGAGAGAGGCAGGTTTTTTCTGATCATCAATCCCAATTCTCCCATGATGGCTCCCAGGAAGCTGGTCAGGGATCTGCAGAAGGTCCACAGTCGGAGCAAGAGCTAGTGAAGCAGGCTCTTCAGGCTGCATTGGCTCGCTTGGGTCTTGACACAGCCCCTGCTGCGGCAACCTCTTCTAGTGCTTTTTTCAGAGGTTCGGCACAACCCTCTCCTCTTACAATTCCACCATCAAGGGATTATATCGAGGAGTTGCAAAGATGCTGGGCGAACCCTAGGTCGCTTACACACCCCACTAGTGCAAGCAGGGCATTGGCTGCGATGCAAGATGCAGACACTTATGGATTGGGTCAGATGCCTAAGGTTGATCCATTTATTGCCTCTTTTGTTCTTTCACCAGAGGAGGTATTGAGGCCTAATGTTCGTTGCCCCCGGCCTCAATGTAGGATTACAGATGACCATCTTATTCAGGCATATAACACAGCAGCACGGATGGGTCGCATTGGCAATTCTTTGTCAGCATGATTTTCAGGCCCCTAGGGGTAGAGCACCTGGCCAACGGCCCACCAGGGATGCTAGAGGCCATGGACGGAGGTCCTGAAGGTCCGCCGCCGGCCGTTGGGCAGTTTTTTATCAGCAGCTCAGTTATTGGGAATCAACAACTTCCGACCCATGGGTTATAGCAACGCTAACCCAGGGATACAAGCTGCAGTTCCGACGGCGGCCGCCCGCCTTCAAAGGGGTCAGGATGACTGTAGTCTCAGACCCCAACAGTTCACTTGCCTTAAAAAGAGAAGTAGCACAACTCCTGGAGAAAGGTGCCATCGAACCAGTAGATTGGTCAGAACGACTAGGTGGGTTTTTCTCCATTTACTTCATCATTCCAAAGAAAGATGGCGGTGTAAGGCCCATACTCGACCTTCGCAGCCTCAACAAGTTCCTGAAGATCTTACCATTTCGGATGTTGCGCATAACCGATGTTCTTCAGGCAGTCAAGCAGCAGCACTGGTTTACAACGGTAGACCTAAAGGATGCTTACTTTCACGTTCCAATTGCTCCTCAACACAGGCCATTCCTCCGATTTGCATTCCAGGATCAGGTCTATCAATTCCGGGTCCTCCCATTCGGCCTGTCTCTGTCGCCACGAGTCTTCACCAGATGCATGGCGGCCGCACTGGCTCCAATCCAAGCCAAGGGGCTACAGGTGCTTCCAT